TGGGAAGTCTGTGGGAAGGGAAAAGTGTGGCAGAAAACGCTGCACAACGAGAAGAGGTGACCGGACCCTGAGGAGGATTGTGGAGAAGGGCCGATTCCAGACCTTGGGGGACCTGTGGAAGCAGTGGACTGAGTCTGGAGTAGAAACATCCAGAGCCACCGTGCACAGAAATGGGCTACAGGTGCCGCATTCCCCAGGTCAAGCCACTTTTGAACAAGAGACTGCGTCAGAAGCATCTCGCCTGGGACTGCTGCTGAGTGGTCCAAAGTTATGTTCTCTGATTACAGTAAATTTTGCATTTCCTTTGGAAATCAAGGTCCCAGAGTCTGGAGGAAGAGAGGAGACACAGAGTTCACATTGCTTGAGGTCCAGTGTCAAGTTTCCACAGTCACTGGGGTGTCATGTCATCTGCTGGTGTTGGTCCACTGTGTTTTATCAAGGGCAGGGTCATTGCAGCAGCTATCAGGAGATTTTGGAGCACTTCATGCTTCCATCTGCTGAAAAGCTTTATGGAGATGAAGATTTCATTTTTCAGCACGACCTGGCACCTGCTCACAGTGCCAAAACCACTGGTAAATGGTTTACTGACCATGGTATTACTGTGCTCAATTGGCCTGCCAACTCTCCTGACCTGAACCCCATAGAGAACCTGTGGGATATTGTGAAGAGAAAGTTGAGAGAACAAGACCCAACACTCTGGATGAGCTTAAGGCCGCTATCGAAGCATCCTGGGCCTCCATAACACCTCAGCAGTGCCACAGGCTGATTGCCTCCATGCCACGCCGCATTGAAGCAGTCATTCATGCAAAAGGATTCCCGACCAAGTATTGAGTGCATAACTGAACATGATTATTTGAAGGTTGGTGTTTTTTGTATTAAAAACACTTGTCTTTCATTGGTGGGATGAAATATGCTAATTTTTTGGGACAGGCATTTTGGGTTTTCATGAGCTGTATGCCATAATCATCAGTATTAAAACAATTAAAGACCTGAAATATTTCAGTTGGTGTGCAATGAATCTGAAATATATGAAAGTTTCATTTTTATCATTACATTATGGAAAATAATGACCTTTATCACAATATGCTAATTTTTTGAGAAGGACCTGTATACCAGTACCTGGGCTCTGTGGTGTTGATGAGCTTCATGAGGTCCTTGAAGTACTTGGGAGTTCTGACAATGATGGGCTCGGATGAGGAAATGATCCGATCTGGATCATCATCAGCCTCCACCACAGCTTTCACAAAACTGAGCCAGTCGAACTGCAAGTAGAAGGAGACTTGTAGAATTTTACTTTGCAGTTAAAATCTGGAAAAGTGCCTAAATTAGAAATAAAGTTTTATTTTTTCTACCACATTTTAAATTCTTGTAAAAAATATATATATATTTTTAAAATATGATGCTTTGCTTTCAAATGAAAGAAATACGCACTCTGTCCCCAGCAGGTTTTGTCGGAGTAAGACGCTCATGAGCTTTAGATTTTACACAAAGAAACAAACTGAGTTTACAGTAATCAGGGCAATAACAAGTTTAACCAGGACACATCTTCCAAAAGCTACATACGATTAAAATGCAGATTTTTATTCATGTTAAGCATTACAAAGACAGGTATTTGTTTTTGGTTGCAACTTTAATTAATTTTAAATCATTTTTAAAAAATGATTCAAATATATTGTAACATTTTACAAAAAAAAGTTGTAAATGAGAAAAGTAGTCTGTAGATTAACAAACGTTGCATTTTTTCCCTTTTTACTTGTACATTCTAATTTTGGAAGAAAATAGAAGCAATATGAGGCTCTGTGACAATAAAATACATATATAATGTAATATGACTATATTTTTTTTCATTTTTTTTTTTTTTCATTTAGCCTTTATTTATACAGGTTAGTCTCATTGAGCCACGAGAACTCATTTTCAAGAGAGACCTGTTTAGGGAGCACATGTATATATGATGTGCTTATATACATGTGCTTTATGAATACATTTGAAATAATGTGAGTAAGAGGTGTGTATGAAGCCAGGCAGTCTGCGGTTGAAATGAATGACTTGCATTTGCTGCTGGCCATATATCAGTTTTGGTGCTTTGATAGTATTGTGTGTACCTGTGGTAAGGAGCTCTGCAGCCGGGAAAGTGTGTATCTGTTGTACATGGCCTCGCTGGTGCGGTTTTCATAAGGAATCAGGATCTGTAGACACAATATGCAAAATAAATTCAAACTCATTTTTATTCACAGTTTTGGACCAAAAAAAAGTCACAACAATAAATCACAGTAAACAATTGTATTTAATGAACCTATGTGCCAGAAAGGCCCATTAGCCATTTCTATACATTAGCCAGGGTTTTATTTGACATGATGTCTTTACATGAGCCACTTTGGTCTCAAATGCAAGAGCCGTTTCCATCTGAGCCTGTGCTGCTTTCTCTGAGGCGCCGAGCATGACGGCCATGTCCACCATGAGACTGAGCAAGGCAGCGCGATTCTGGACAGAGAAACAATAAAGACAATGTTTCTTTATTTCACGGATGCTGCAGACGATCAAGCACTAGTCAAACGCTGTATACGTAGTCATGTTCTGTATGATTAGCATTTCATCTATTAGCATTAACAAAGGACACAGCACAGTAAACATATCAAAAATATACATTTTAAAACCCATTTACTTCATTTTAAAAACATGTTTCAATTTTTGTGAAAGTAGCAGTAGTTTTTATGTTCGTTTCTACGAGCTATCATTGAAAAACCATCGGCAGAAATGAAATGTTTATGTAATGCAGGTAGGAACTCACCGCGAGAGCAGAGGAAGTGTTGGTGGTGTAGTCTTCCTTGGAAGGCAGAGACAACGAAGCCTGGTCTAGCTACAGGAACAGAAGCACAAGTTTGGTACTTTCATTTTCCATATTTTAATGTTTTGTATTTTTTATAGCACCAATAAATACAGATGCAAATAATTCTGTTCTTTACTCTTTTGTTGAATAAATAAATACACACAATGGTCACTAAAATTATTTGAAACTCATAAAAGTTGCTAAAAAACACCAAATAAAAATTAGTCATCACTGATTTTGAATTGTTGCTTCAAATGATAATAAAAAAGCTGGCCTTGACAATGAATGACACCCTTACGAGGATTAAAAATAATTAGCATATATGACATGTTAACTGTGGTGTGTTCTGTAATTAACATCACTGGCATTCTCAGTCTTGTAAGTACGTCAGTCTATTCTCCCAGTTGTCTAACTGTTAAAAATGGTGTACCACAAGGCTCAGTCTTAAGACTCACCCTCTTCACAATCTACATAGGTAATGTAAGTCAGATCGTCACTGATGTATCCACACATTTCTATGCTGATGATACAGTTGTTTACTGTCAAGCTAAAACAGTTGCTAAGGCTTTCCAGCTTTTGAAATCTGCATTCAACATCATCCAGTCAGATTTGTTCCACCTCAAACTTGTTCTAAATGCCGACAAAACCAAAAGGATGTTGTTTTCAAACAGGAAGTCGGTCCCAGCAGTTCTTCTTTTTATTTTATCTTTGAATGATGCTCCTATTGAGTTTGTCAATTCCAACCAATACTTGGGTGTCTTGGTCGATTCACATCTCCCTTTTAATTCCCACGTCAAAAACTTGGTAAAGAAACTGAGTTAAAAGTTAAAGTTAAAGTTAAAGTTAAACTGGGTTTCTTTTTCAGAACCAGATCCTGTCTAACCCTGAATGTTAGGAAACACCTTGTATCTGTGACTTTCCTTCCCTCCATTGATCACGGTGACATTATTTACATGAACACTCCTACAAGAATCCTGCAGATGTTGGATGCTGTAGATGTTGGATGCTGCAGATGTTGGATGCTGTCTATCATGGTGCACTAAGATTCATAACTGGCTGTAACTACCGTACCCACCACTGCACCCACTATTCACTGGTTAACTGGTCACCATTAACTTCACACAGACTCTCTCACTGGTACATTTTCATCTTTAAATCACTTCTTGGTCTGCTGCCTTCATACATCTCCTCCTACATGTCTCTGTGTGAGTGCAGCTACAGCGTGCGCTCTCAGGACATCATTACCTGCAGTGTTCCCTCAGTGAGGACTGAACTAGACAAAAGGACCTTCTCCTACTCCGCTCCTGTTTCCTGGAATATCTTGTAAAAACATCTGAAGCTCTCGACCTTTGACCTCTCTAAGTGGCTTCAAACATCTGATAAGTTCATGGCAACAATCAATGCAGACATGTTCCTGTTTTTAATATTTTACATCACTTTACATTGTAGCTGTTTTTGTTTCATTTTTTTACATAATTTTCTTCCATTTTTTTTTTTTTCAATTTATATGCTTTCTTTTATAATTGTCTACAGTTGTGAGTGTTTACTGCTGTCGTCATTCTTTGTTTAAGGTCTCTCTTGTAAATGAGTCCTCGAGGCTCAATGAGAGTAACCTGTCTAAATAAATCCTGATGCATGCTCAATACAGTACTGTGCACTATACAGTACAGTACAATACTGTCGAAATACAGGTTGAATGAACTGAAAATACGAAAAGTAGTTACTCTGCTGTTTGGTATCATGGTGCGATCTACAGTGACATGGAGCACAGAACGCCAAGGACAGAGCTGTCTCGGGAGCTTAGAGTTTTATATATTTTACATTTAAATAAGGCTATAAGACCATCTCCAAACAGTTCAGTGTTTCTGTAGCGACAGCTGCACACATTATTAAAAAGTTAAGCTCCCGAGGATTGTAACCAAGCTTCCTGGACATATCCACAAAAAGAAAACTGATGACAAACTGAAAGATATATAATGCAAATGATAACACAATAGCACAGATGGACAATAGTCTTTTCATGTATGAAGGTTTCTGTGCAGTGCCCTGAGACAACTTCTGTTGAGACTTGGCTCTTTATAAATAAAATGTATTAAACTGAATTGATCTAAATCCTATATGGCGTCAGTGGAAGGAGCTGAAACGTGCAGTCTGAAGAATGAACCTTCAACTGGAGCAGTTTGATCACAAGGTGTGGGCCAAAAAAACAGACAGAATCTCACAGAGAGCTATAGAAACTGCTTGAACTATAAAGGTGAGTAACAAGTTGCCAGTTTCAAGTGATTTCATTGACCTTTGTGGGGTTTTCTTTTGTTAATGGCAGGATACAAACAAATGTATTTCTGTTAGTATTTACTTGATCTGTAGTTTTCTGTACAAACACAATGTGTTTTGCATCGTTGCACTATTGTGTGCTGCTATTTTATGTACAGTACCAGTTTATGGATGATATTTTACCTTCCAGGCAAATTGAATTTTTATATATTTAATATGTGCATGTTATAAAACACAGTTTATTGACTGATTTTGTTTAAATCCAGTAAACGTCTGACCTTGATGATGTAGTGTGAGGAGTTTCTGTCATCAGGAGAGACGTACAGGCGTATCAGGACACTCTTGCTGTGCTGGTTTCTCATCTCTGCCAGGGTCTTAAGGAGACTCCACTGACTCTGTGACCACTGATACTCCCCGCCACGCCCATCCCCCACCACAGGCCAACGGAACTCGGGCTGTTTCAGTGTTTTCAGCAATGGTTTGGCATCCAGCTTCTCCAGTATTGCTTGGTAAAACACACACAGACACAAAAGTATTGCATTTTAATTAACTGATCAGTCTTGTTAAGGCTTATCTTGAAGTTTGTCTGTTTTACAATGAGGTTCACTCTCTTTTATTCACCTCGTGTATCGCCCTGCCCCTGCAAAGATCAATGTCTGCAACCAATGTACTCATTTTAGCTGTCACTGTCTGCTTGTGTGCACCAGTTAACAAAAACTTTTTTAATGAAATATTTCATAAACACATTGTAAACAGATGGAATTGGGTTTAAGACGTAGAGTTTAGCTTAATCTGAAGATTTGGTTTAGGAATCATTGGGAACAGATGAAAGATGCATGTAAACAGTCAAACTTTACAAAGTTGGGTGCAAGTTTGTAACTTACTTTCATTCATACAGGAGCGGTAGAGGATTTTAGCTTTGGTTACAGCCTGTAGCTCATCAGCATCCGAAGGTGCCTCTAGTAACTCTGACGGGTGAAAAATGATGTGATTATTTAAAGTATCAGTTATTAACATGTACTACAACATGATCATTTAATAAGTGTACTTTTATTGTGCTTGAGTTTGTCATGTCTTAGACAATAAAACATATGTTGATGGATTCTATGTCACAAAGATGCATCTGGCAAATCCCTTTGAGATCACAGATCTCTTTTTCAAAGGAGGCATGGGACTGAAGGTACTTTAAGTATAGTAGAACTGAATGGTTGAAAGTTTTAGGACTGTGGAGGAAACTGGAGTACCCAAAAGAAACCCCATGCAAATTTGAGCAAACTTCATATAAAACAAGACCAGACATTTCTTGAGGAATGCACATGTCTGGGTGCATTGCCCAGGCAATTTAAAAACAAATCCTCTGGAATCTGCTAATGTCATTAGGAGAACTCTCAGCTACTACCACACCTAATCTTGTTTTAACAAACCAACATACAAAAATATATCCTGATGCATGCTCAATAATCCAGGTAGAAAAATCTAAAAAAGTTAAATCTGGTCCTCTGGACATTCAAAAAAACAAAACAAAGCAAATCAACAAAAAAATGTAGAAACGTTTCGTCTCTCATCCGAGAGACTTCCTCAGTCTGAGGTGCTGTATTCAGCTCAGTCTCTTAAATAGCACCGTCTCAGAGTGGATCAACCAGTTTGCTGCTGACAACCAAAACCAGCTGATCACATGCTCAAGAAGGACCATCAGCCTAACAATGGATCATTAGCACCTGATGGCTGTTTACTGTTCACAGAGGGCTGAGTGATACTAGCAATCACAGCATTGTAAGAGGGGGACAGTTGAACCTTGAGGCCTCCACCCCTGTTTAATGATAGACGGTTTCTTTTCACAAAGATGGCCTCCTTTACTCCTCTCTCAAAC